TTAAAATTTCAAATTATCTTTGTTAGATCGTCTTAAAAAAATCTTTTATATAACCTTTTACTCTCCATTTATTGAAAATTATAAAAGGATAAAATTAGGAGAAAGTGAAAAGGATTCACATTTTTTAATGCAAAATGACTGATAAAAAGGATCGTTAATTTAATATTACCAATACTTATCTTTGTTATAAATCACTCTCAACCACTATATCGAAACCATTAAAAAATTAATTAACTCATTAAATATGATTTAACATGAAAACCTTTACTTCTATTACAGAGAAAGAGAGACACAATATTCAAGGAGTCCTGTGGAGACCTTAAATTAAAATGAAAATTTTATTTTAGTTATTTGCTAAGGTAAAATTAGAAAATATTATCTCTAGTTCCTATTATATATATAGGACACCTTTTAACAAAATTCTTTAGTTCTTAATGAAAAATACTTGGTGAAATATTAATTATATTTTTTAATATAACCCTTATTTAAACTCATTAATTAACTATAAGAGAAAATGTAATATAGATTTGAAAATATTTAATTTAAATAGGGGTAAATTTAAGAGCTCATTTTATTGCAAGACAAAATTAATGATTCAACCCTCTCATCGTAATTCTAGTTAGATGATTAGAGATATTTTATAATAAAAATTAAAAAATATTAATTAATAACCCTCTATGTGAGTTAAAGATAATTTTTCTTCCTTAAAAACACCTTACAATAAAAACGGAAAATATTGTATGTGAGATCGGAGAGAGCATGTGTTTGCGATGGTACCATAGAATAGTGCCTCATGTTGTGAAAATATGGCGGCATCACATCCGTACTCTTATGATTCAATCGGACGGCTAACCTCTTTCGTCACCTTTCCAATATCTTTTTGATACGTCATAGCCACTCGCACCCAATCCTACCACCACCACCACCTGTTTTCCCCCCAAAATATCACAAATAAACTATATAGTGTCATCAAAATGGATTGGATTAGTTGGTCCAATCGGTCATAGGTCCAGTCCGATTGCAGCAAAAACCACCCATTATGCAAACCATCCATAAATCGATCGAACTAGCCTTAAACTGGGAACAAACCAGTTGAATTAGACACGTTACTTTTTTTTTTATTTTTAATTCATATTTTAAATTATAATTTATTCATATTTATGAGTGTCTCATAAGTATCGTGAAATGAAAAAAATACAAAAAATATTTACAAATTATGTATATATGTATATATTTTAAAATTATAAATTATGAAATAATTATATATATTTTTTGAATGAAAATGATGTAATATTAGTAGATATTATCTTTTTTATTGTATATTATTTTTTAAAAAATTTAAATATTCATTTTTCTTACTATATATGATTATTTCTTTATATTTTAAATATATATATTAATTTATTTATGATCAATTTGACCATGGTTTAAACTGTAGTCCAATTATTAAATCATAAACTAGTGCCTTAACTAGTTCAACAGCCGATTCAGTTTTCATAATATTGCTATATATCTATCTTCTTTTTTTTTTTGGCAAGAGAGAAAATGATATTAAAGAAATTTAAAAGAGGTTTACACATTGAACACCTGAAAATGTGCACATATTTTAAGGAACTGGCCTTTAACTTGTACAAAAATAAAATACAACTCCACAAAAATCTGGTCCAAGCAAAGTATTCCGATTTTTTTTTCAAAAAAGTATTCACATATTTTGTTGAATAATCAGTAATCACTTTAGTTATTTCAGGGATTTAAAGCGCAGCCTCAAATAACGAAAATTTAGTAGTGAAAGTTTAATTAGATGCTCTAAATATAATACGAAACGTATAAATAATATGTTTTTCAAGATTTTAATGCAAGTATATTATTTTAATTTTGATTTTTTATTGTAAAAAATAAAACATGATATCTTTCATTTGCTGTGAAAATTTGAAGATTGCCTTCAAACGTGCTTTGTCTTTTTAAAAAATATTTTGTATAAATGAAACAAAATATATCATAAAATTGTCTTTTCCTAAAATGGCCGTTGGAACTGTGCTTCTTGCTCTCCTCGACAACTCAAGTACTGTCGCGCGCGCGCGTATTTATATTCCTTGTGTCCTGCGGCAAATGAAAGCGATACATACTAGGGTGGATGACTGAGAAGACCGCTAAAATAAAGACATGATTTGTAAAAGTAAAACAAAAACATGTTAATATCATGTTCATGGTATTGAAATTCAGATCGGACTGGTCGGGTCAATTCAAAAATTGGTGATCCGATCCCTTGTCTGGTCTGAATTTACTCCTAAACCGGTGAGGGAATGAACCGGTGTAACCCGATCAACCCGAGTTCAACCCGGTATAACCCGGTGGGTTGATTCGGTCAACCGTGTTATTTTTTTTGGAGATTTTTTTTATTTTTAATTTTTCAGAGTGCTGAATTCAAAAATAAGATAAAAAAAAAAGTGAAACTAAAGTTAAAAAATGAGAAATTAGAGGTAGAACATGCTAAGTCCAATCCAGATTTTCAAATAGCATTTAGTTTGGCCTTTCATCTGTGTCTCTTCTCTCTCGCCCTAATCTAATCAGCGTCTCTTCTCCAAGCTCCAGCTCTATTTCTGTCTCTGTTATCTCCATCTCTTCTCCAACTTAGTCTCTGAGTCTCCGTCTCTTTTTCAACTCAATCTCCGTCTCTTTTCTAACTCTATTTCCATCTCTTCTCTAACTCTATCTCCATCTCTTCTCTAGACTTTTGAGATTGAAGAGTTGTAATTGTAATGATAGATATTTAAAGTGTTGTATTTTATTATTATTAGACTTTTGAATAGTTGGATTTGATTGAATGTTTTTATAATTAATGTCTTTTTATTTAAATTATATTATTTTAATCATAACCGATTTGCCACCGGTTCAACCTTAATTGAACCATTAATTCGTGATTCGATATTATAATCGATTCAATGACCGATCCAATTTTACGTACCTTGATCATGTTTGAATCCGGGCCTTTTTCAGTTGAGAAATGTGGTGATTTTTTTTTTTTTTTACCAGAGAAATGTGGTGCCGTTATACTATTGAAACAACTTGCCATTGACTTTTGATTTGATTTGACACCAATTATCTTTACACATCACACGTCTCAAACTTGAAAAAAGTAACGTTTTACGAATTAATATAATATGAACAAAATTTATTTCTACACTTACAAACTTGATCATTGGGTAAGAGAATTTTAATCAAATTAGCATTTTCAAAACACAAAAAAGGATGACGGTTTTAAAATTTAATTTCTAATTTCATGGTCATGATTGATTATTTGTGATATTTGGAGGTTCTTATTTATAATTTTCCCTTAATACAATATGGGTGATGTGGCATGATGAATGGAAGCTGGAAAAAAAATTATGGATATACTTCTTCTAATTTTATTTATAAATAAATTTTAATATATTTTATTAGAATTAAAAAAATTATAAATCTTATTAACTTTTTCTTAAAATGTAAGAAAAATATAGCTTTTGATCCTTATACTTTATTCATATTTTGCTTTTGATCATTGTATTTTTTCAATGCTTTAAGTTCCTACACTTTTATTTTTTATTATTTTCAGTCCCTCCAAAGTCTCTATACTTTATTTATAAAATGACCAAAAATAATGAAAATAAAAATATAAAGACCTAAAACATCAACAATAAAAAAATACATGGACCAAAATGTATGTTTTTCCTAAAATTTAATAAATTTTACTTCACCTTTACCCCTAATAAATATTCTTAAATTTTATTACTAACATTTTTATTCAAATAATTTAACAAAAGCAAAATGTAAAGAAGAGTATTAAAAATTAACAAATATTTATAAATAAAACTAAGTTTTTTCTTCTCCCTTTACCCTATAAATAGAACAAGAGGAGTATGTTCTACAACAAAATTGAATTGAAAATTCAAATTCTACGGTTAGAACCACATATCATTAATTAAGTGGTTAATTAGAATCACATCATTATGCGGCTCCAAACATGTTCTTACCTAAAACCAACAATTTATTGCTTCTAGGCAAACACATTGGCCGGCTGCCTTTAAATGCCATTATTTATCTCATTTGTAACAATAGTTGTTTATGACTTTATGTTGTGTAAATTTAAATGCTATACTATATGTTACCTATGTAATTGTCATGTGGGGTGTGTGTGTGTGTATAGATTAAATATTTACAAAGTCACGAACCAACTTTTTTGGGTATACTATATTTTAAGATGTTTAATTTGCTATAGTCAAATTGTAGTTGATTTAACTTGCTTTTGCATGGACAGCGTGATTCTCCTTTCTTAGCAGTTCTGAAAGTGTTTAATACAGTATTTTTATTTAAAAAAAAGTTCTCAAGAATATTAATTTATTAATTTACTTAAATAACTTTACACTTTAAAGTTTTCATTTACACCTCATTTGGTATGTTGTTAGATTTTTTGATAGAATCAAAATTGGAAGTAGAATAAAAAATTGAACTGAATTGGGTTTTAAAAGTATATTTAACGTAAAGATAAAATTTTAATGTAATTTTAATAAGTATATGTATTTAAAATAAAAAAAAACTAAAGTGCCCTTTTTAAAAAAATGTGTTGCAATGGAGGGCAGAGGTCTGATGAAAATGATTTCAAATTGCACCAATTCTATCATCACAATGCCGGAATTCCATTTAAAGAAATTTCCTTGAATCTAGAGTCTTGAGAATCATAGCTCAAATCCACCAAACAAGTCTCACCAAAGAATCCATTTCCATTCTTGATTTCTTTTTCATAATTCTTGCATACCAAACCTGGCATTAATGTCCAGGTTTATTTCTATCACTTATTGAGTGAAAGAAAAACGTGCTATTCTTGTTGTGCGTGCGTGCTGCTCAATTAAATCTTTGTTTTGGATCAGTTTGTTTATATTTTGCAACTATATCATCATCTAACTGTTAAACGAGCTTATTGATCACACAAAAATTAAGAAAAGAAAAGAAAAAGACAACATATGTAGAACCAACAAGAACAGCTAATATTAATGGATTTTTGAATACATTTCACATAGATTTCTTTTAGGCTTTATTTAATTTATAGTACATTTATATTTAGCAGTACAAGGCAAGTTACAATACACACTCGAGAAGGTTACTTTTAAGCCAGATTTCATGATATGATAAGGGACAAATATTGGGATATACTTAATTTGGGTTTATCGTGCTTCAAGGATTCACTGGAGGGTAGAAGGGCTTTTTTGGGAATGGAAAAGGTTTCTTCACAAAAGGAATTGGCTTGGGAAAAGGTTTCTTGAATCCAGGAATTGGCAATGGCTTCTCATTATCTACTGGGATTGGCTTTGGAATCCAAGGCTTGGGAAATGGTTTCTTTTCCAATGGAATTGGCTTTGGAATGAAGGGCTTAGGAATAATGAAAGGCTTGGGAATTGGTTTCTTCACCAAAGGAATTGGCTTTGGAATGAAAGGCTTGGGAATTGGCTTCTTCACAATAGGAATTGGCTTTGGAACGAAAGGCTTGGGAATTGGCTTTTTAACAATAGGAATTGGCTTTGGAATGAAGGGTTTAGGAAATGGCTTAAGGAAAGGCTTCTTAAATCCGGGAATTGGCAATGGCTTCTCATCATGGACAGGAATTGGCTTTGGAATTGGTTTTCCGTTGACTGGGAATGGCTTCAATGGAAATACTTTCGGTGGGATCTTGAAAAATGGCTTCTTGAAGATTGGCTTATGTGGAACAAACTTGAACTTCTCTTCCTCATCCTCATGATTCTTCAATGTTGTTTTTGTCAAGTCTTCATTTCCAATGGTGTTTAGCTCATTACCTGGGAAAAACATAAAACAATAATTATGCAGAATTTTCTATTAATCTTAGTAATTAAGCATATCAATCTAGCTTTTATAATATTCCCTCTACCCTAGTTTAGAAGACACTTTTTGACAAAATTAATCGCGCCAATAAAATTTATTAAATATACTTTATAATTTATATTTTTAAAAATCACACAAATATAAAATTTCAAATATCCCATGATTTAATATAATTTTATTTGTGAAATATTAAATAGAGAGAGAAAATATAATAAAGAAAAAAGTACAATATTAGAATAGATATAATTAATAAAATATTATTTTTATTAAAATATTTTATATTTTAAAATATCGAATCACTTTCAAAAGTGTCTCATAAACTAAGATGAAAAGGGAGTAATAATTAGCCATCTTCAAGAAATCCACAAGTTAGTCAAGCTCAAAGAATGAAAACCTATTCAGTGACTACAAGTACATATTGTCAATGTAGAATAATGTTTTCTAACTAATTATTTTTTAGCTAAAGTGTCATTGTCAAATTAAAGTTGCATCATCAGATTACCTTTGTCATTTCGCTTTGCAATAATTTTCTTTTTTTGTGTGGGTAGTGATTAATAATGATCCAAATTCCAAACCCTCTTAATATAATAGAAGGGCACTTTTTCTCCACCTTAAAATGAAATTTTAAATCCCAATAATATGATCTTTCTGTTAAAAAATATAAGGTATTTTTTGAGGAATTGGATGTTAAAAAATGTAAGGCAAATTTAATTTTTTGAAGTATAATCATTGCCTTTTTTTAAAAAGTATCCCTATTGATAATGACTTTATATTTATTGTAGAATATTTAATAGGGATAAATATGAAAAGACATGATTAGTTAAAAAGTAGACAATTACTTTATTGGGAGTGAATTCGGTTAAAAATAACTTACATTTTTTAATGGAATACTTTTGTATATATGAAAAAAAGCTGAATTTTTTTGACACTCATACAAAGAAATCATTGTTACAAAAAAAAAATTAAAGACTTGAAAACAACTCTTTTTATTGGCAAAAAAAAAGAAAAAAGAAAACAACTCTTTTTCTTAAACATTATTTTCGCGACCCCAAATACAAGCTTTAATATAGCTCAACCAAATTCAGTAATTAAATCCTTAAATAATGTTTGCTCTAGGATTCTTCAATAAAAAGACAGCAATAAGTTTATGTTGAGAGCTTCAATATATCTATAAAAATTGTTAAAAAATTATTTACAATTTATGAGCATCATAACTTATCTTGAGTTGCATGAAAATGCTCCAAACCTAACTCTAATTAATTAATAAAAAATATCAAATAGTAAAGGGAAAAATCTCGTATACTCCAAACACCAATTATACCTGGAAAGGCTTCATCTGCTGAAGAAATATAAGACAAAGAGAAGGTGACAAGAAGAAACAATGGCACCAAGAAACAAGCCTTCTCCATTGAGAAAACTCTGATTTTTAATGCCACAATCTCTTCACTATGCGGCAAATGAAGAAATTATATCAAAGGCTTTGAGTGAAACAATAGCGGCAGAATCGCACTGCTATATATAGGAAGCTGCTTAGCTTTTAGATTAATCACTAATAACACGTCTCTTAGCTTGTCTGCTGCATTTTCATGGGGTTTGATTTTACTGTTATTAATTGTGTAGTCTGAGATTACAGGTTTAGAGACCATTTGTTAGTTGACAATTTTTCTTAATATGTATATAGCCACCGATTTTGTCGTTGTTAGTTCATTTTCTCCATTATATTAAATGAGTTTGTTAGCTTTTGGTAGCCACCTAGCTTGCTTCTCCATTCATGAGTTTCTTTTCGTATATCTAGGTACTTTAATCTTATATATTTAATATATTTTTATTCAATAAAATTAGGATAAGTAAATTTTAATGTATTAATAATATTAATATAAAAATAATATGTAAAAGATCCACAGACTAAATTGAAAAAAAGCACATTAAATATACAAGATTATATATATATATATATATATATAGTTATGTACATCTAATGTTAAATTAAACACATGCATGCATCAAATTGGGTGTGATAAGTTCCTTGCTGGAATTAATATCTTACTTATACTAATTAAAGTGCGAGAATACATGAAGCCTTCAATAATTGCGTGATTTGGAAAGGTTTCAGCTATTGGATACATTTATTAGAATCCTTTTCATATATAACTAGAATTCACATCATTGATCACGCCACCGGTTGACTCTTGAGCATTGAACTAAAAGTCATGTGACATTTAATCATATCACTCTTTTTTTTTTTTTTTGCCAACTTAATCAGACCAGCTCTTAATATTTAAGATGTATATCTTTCGTCCAAAAAAAAAATGTTTAAGATCATATATATATATATAGATATAGATATGGCAACCATATCAAGTTTCATATGAAAAGACTTCGAAGATTTATATGAAAGAGTCTACACACACACACACACACACACACCCCAAGTCCAGATTATATATATATATATATAGGGATTTCTAACCTGAGTTATTATATATAGGGTAGGGCAGATTAATTAGCACTTAATTAGCAATGTTTCCAAGACTACATTTGTATTTAGGACCAAAAGACGGTCGATTTTTTTTTTTTAACTACAGAACTAATAAGTAAATGGGGTTTAAATTATTTCCTTGTGAAAATGTAATTTTAATGGAAGGGTATTTAGTCTTTTTCTTATAAACACAAACATGCCCGAACATAAAATAAATGCAAGAATAAAAGAAAATAATACCGTTATATTCCTATATTTTTACTGTCATTTATTGGAAAATAAAGTATTTTTTGGTGCAAAATGTGGAGGACCACACTTTGAAGGTTAGCATTCATTTATTATCTTCTATTATTTTTAAACATGCAAAACAAAATATAACTTTTAAGTACTAGAAAATTTCCCTGTATTACATGGATATCAAAATTTACACACACACAACTTGACCAATAAAAAAATTAAGGAAATAAAATTTTAACTTCAGTTAATTTCCAACTAATTATAAAAATCTTCAAGTAAAATAAAGAATTTTCAAAGTAAAAAACTAATTAAATAATTGAATGAGTCATTTTGATATGCTTAAATTAATTACTCAATGGAGATTTCTGTCATGTCTTTGAAATTTTATGCTATTTATGAAAAAATAAATTTAATCATATTTATAGGATACTTTACTATTTTTATATTCATCTTTACCTGTTCTATCTTTTAAATACTAAGAAAAATTATTAAAAATATTTTTTTATTTTTATTAAGGGTAAAAGGTAAAACTTATTAAATTTTAAGATATAATTAATAAGATTTAAGATTTTTTTTGTTTCAATAAAATATACTAAAAGTGATTTATAAATAAGATTAGATAAAATAATTGAGTATATATTATGAGAAGACTTTAATTTCCTTCTGCCTCCTTGAACAAAAACAATTATTATCCTTCTGATTTGCCAGCATATTACTCACCACTACATTAAAAGCATACTCCTTTAGTTTAAAATATAAGTACTTTTTCCCACTACTCTTAATTCAAAATATAATAAATTTAATATTGATAAAAAAAGTTCTCATTTTATCCTTTATATTTATTAACCTAGATTATTATGTCTATAAATTTATTATCTTTTTCTCACTTGTCATAATTAAAACTAAAAGTAAAGAAAAATATAATATATAGTTTCATGGGAATAAAATTTTTATTTGTATGCAAATTATTATTGTTAAAAGTTACTTATTTCCTCTGAACCATAATATTTGTCATTAATAATTAATTCACATTTTATAAAAAAATGTTAGTTAAAATATTATTTTTCTAAAAATGTCCGCATCTTTACAATTATATCTTTGAGTTTTTTTATTAACAAGTTCATGATATTTAAATATAAAAAATTTAAAATAATGAATAAAAAAAGGCATAAATGGTTAAAAAAATAAAATTTACCCAATGCACTATATTTTGAACTAAAAGATACTTCTAAAAAATGACTTATATTGTGATTCTGATAGAGTATATTTTAAACTGAAGGGATTTTATTTTTGCCTACATAAATTAATGATTCTTAAATAAGTAGTGTTAATAAAACATAGTGCAGAGAAGAACTGCCTGCCTTTAATTTGTTAGTGCTGTCATAATTAGCATTTTAATTTGGAAGTGCGAAGTGCGAACACAAGTGAAAAATGACTGCTGACTTATTTTTTGTGTACCCTCCCTGTTTTTAAATAGCACTGTAAGCTAAATTTTAATATGATTTTTATTTTTTATAAAAAAAATAATTTTCAATAAATATTTATAACATTTTTAATTAGCCTTTCATTAAATGATAGCGTCATTAAATTAGAGAAAAATGAAGGATCAATCACATGAGTATTTTAGTTCAAACATTTCAATTTTAAATATAAGATTTAATTAATAATATTTAAGTTTTTGATAAATTTTTTTAAAAAACAAGTTTCAAATGTTGATTCAGACAATTATAAATAGAAATTCCATATGTAAAGTGAGACTAGTTATATTTAAACTTTAAATATTTCATTTAGATAGACGAATACATTTGTAATTGAGACTTTTGAATTTGTGATTTTATATATGTGAATCGACATTTTCAACTCATTTTTTAAAAACAAAAATTCAAGAACTTTAATTTTCATTAAATCAATCTGACTTAATTCTCATTATCCCTTGTAATAAATATAATAAGATTATATATTATGTTACGAAATTACCGTACAGTTCGCAATATGAGGAGATTTAGATCATTAGAAAATGCCTGGCATATTGGCTTTGTTTTATTTTTAATATCTTTCTGGGCGCTTTCTGGTTTATGAAGTTTTATATATATATATATATATATATATATATTCATGGACTTGACCATGACATTGCTATGCTGAAAAAGTAGCGTTTTTTTTTTTTTAACCTTGGAAAACTCTAAAGAAATTGTGGGCCTTTAAATTGCTTTTACATGAAAAAAAAAATAAAGTTCGCACGTGACCACCTAACACTGCTTGGAAAGTGCTAGATATTTACTTTTCAATAACTTCTAAGTTTTTATCTATTTATTCCCCTGAAATTAAAAATACATGAATTTCATGAAATTTGTTTTTAATTTGACCTTATATAAATGAATAAAAGGAAGGGCAATATATATGTAGAACCCAACGATGATGACATATCTAATTAATGGAATTCTGTGTACATAACAGCTCCTAGAAGCTTTATTTATAATAACGGAAATATTCTGCATGATGCCAGACACATAAAAAAGTACAAACGAGAGAGATATCTGGAAATTCAGGTGCAATTAACATAAATCTGAAGATATAATGAGCATGGATTTATTTTTTTCCAATCAAAAGGAAGGATTTTAATTTTCATATGGGTAATTAGGAATAATAATATTGGTGTGGTGTCTCAAGGATTATTAACTGGAGGAAAGAAGGGCTTTTTGGGGAATGGAAAAGGTTTCTTCACCAATGGAATTGGCTTTGGGAGAGGCTTGAGAAATGGTTTCTTCACCAAAGGAATCGGTTTTGGAATGAAGGGCTTAGGAATTGGCTTCTTCACTATAGGGATTGGCTTTGGAATGAAGGGTTTGGGAAATGGTTTCTTCACAAATGGGAATGGCTTAGGGAAAGGCTTCTTGAATCCGGGAATTGGGAGTGGCTTCTCATCATGGACAGGAATTGGCTTTGGAATTGGTTTTCCATCGACTGGGAATGGCTTCAGTGGAATTACTTTTGGAGGGATCTTCAAAAATGGCTTCTTGAAAATCGGCTTGTGTGGAACAAACTTGAACTTCTCTTCCTCATCATGATCAGCTGCAAATAAAAATAGTTTTGTTGATTCTCAGTTAGTCTTTATCAATAAATAATGATGTCAACAAATTATCCTCATGAGATATAGAAATCAATATCAGTGAAAAAGACTAACTTGGAAACTGTAAATTAATTATAGCGTTAATTTCCTAGAAGAAAAATAATGAATAATTTATTTGGCCTTTAGTTACTGTTCCCTCTGTTCCTTTTTATAGATCTATAAACTACTTTCATGAGATTAAGAATATAATGTCAATTAAAATTAGTGAAATGTTAAAAGCTTTTATGATTTTTCAAAATTTCCTTTTTTTGATAAAGTTTATTAGGGGGAGAAGGAGATAGAAAAGTCATTATCAAAGGGAATTTCAAAAACTGAGACGCAAATCTATGTTATATTTAAATTTATATAAAGGATCAATATGTAAGGCTTTATCAACATAGGACTGGAAGAAAATACCTTCATTACAGACAAAATACTTTTAACTTTCTTAAAACAATTTATTTAGCATAAATACGGTATTGAGTTATGAGGTGATCAACTATTAAAACTGCATGATTCTTTGTATATTTATTTAAAAAATCATAAAAAAAAGATATAATTGCATCGTTTCATTATTATAAGATATTAAAATATCTCTCATTTTATATATAATATTAAAATATCTCATTAAAAGCTAAAGATCTTGTT